TAGCTTTTTCTCATCTTCATCTCCAGCGATACAGAATGGTATCTCATCAATGGTGTCGGTTTTTATTTTTCCTTTAATGAATTCTCTGACATATTTTTGGAATTCTTCTTTCTCACTTTTTATGAGATCTGCTTGATTGGGTAACTTTTTAATGCTTTTTTGTTGAAGGAATGTATTTACAAATGTAAGGACGACCACTGATCTATCCCACATCTCCTTATTCATCATATCTCCAAGAGTGGAGAACATCTTTTTAACCCCTTCATTTACCCTGCAGTCCATTCTCATGCAGATTAGTACCAAATCAAACTTTTTATCTTTAGCGATCTCTTCAATAATGCTAACATCACTCTTTCCTCTTGTATCACCAAAGCCAGTAGTATCATAGACCTTTATCTCAATTCCTTCATACTTCCCTGTATGTACTTCAACTTCAGACTGTACTGGTGCTGCTCCCTGTCCCTCTGTTGCTCTTTGTCCCTCTTGTACAGCATCTCCCAGTAAAGCATTGATGAGTGTTGATTTACCAACACCAGTGGGACCAATCACTAATATATTGATTGGCTCTCCTCTTTCACTTAATCTTTGTATAGCCTCTTGTAGCATCCTCACTTCTTCTTCATTTAAATTTCTTAAACTTGCGGGCACAATTGATTGATTTATTTCAGGGATTGTCTCCATAGTATCGTCTCTTGTTGTCATATTTCTAAGATTACAGTGTTGTCTTCCTGTAACTAGGTAACACAGGCTATGAATAATTATAACTAACCAATCAGATTACAGGCTGTGAATGTCATATAGAACCTTCAAAGGAATTAAATTATTCTTATAACTTCTATTTTTATGCATCTTTAATTACCCGTGTACAGTAATGCCACCCTTTCGATGGAAGTAATTTTATTAATCACTACTTATTAATTGAAAGCCATTCTAATTAATAATTTTTTTATACTAATGAAAATGTTCACACTGAACAGTTAAAATACAATAATATCAGCAATCCTCTTGTCCTGTTATTGGAAGTTGTTGATTTTTAGTTTCTTTTAATAGCTACTACAATCCCTGTAATAGCAGCTCCTAATCCACCGCCAATCATGCCTCCCACTGTAGCTCCTACTATTGTACCTACTACTGGCACAATTGACCCTATTCCTCCTCCTATTGCTCCACCCACCACTGCTCCTACTGCAGTCCCACCACTAATAGCTCCTGCTTCTATTACTGTTCGATATTTTACTATTAAACTGAGGAAATCACTTACATCCTGATTGCAACGTTTGATGCATTCATTCCATAAGTCTTTTAACCAATTGTCAGTTGTTGGTAGTTTTCGCTCTTCTTCTCCAGCGATACAGAATGGTATCTCATCAATGGTCTCACTCCTCAATGTGCTGCTAAGGAATCCATGAACATGTCTTTTGAATTCTTTTTTTTCATTTCTTATTATATCTGCTTTATTGGGTAATTTTTTAATACTTCTTTGTTGAAGGAATGTGTTAGCAAACGTAAGGACAATCACTGATCTACCCCACATTTTTTTATTTATGTTAGCCGCAAGAAGTGTGAACATATCTTTAACTTTTTCATCTGCTCTGGAATTCATTCTCAAACAGATCAGTATCAAATCAAACTTATTAGCTTGAGCAATTTCTCGAATAATGCTATTACCACTTCTCCCTCTTGTATCACTGAATCCAGTAGTATCATAAACCCTTATCTTTATTCCCCCACAGTTTCCTTTGTGTACTTCAAGTTTAGATTGTACTGATGTTGCTCCTGCTCCTTCTTTTGCTACAGCATCTCCCAGTAAAGCATTAATGAGTGTTGATTTACCAGCTCCAGTGAGACCAATCACTAATATATTGACTGGCTCTTCTCTTTGGCTCAATCTTTCTATGGCTTCTTGTATTTTCTTTGCATCTCCTTTGTTTTGCTGAATGGACTGAACAAGTACATTCTCCTTTGCCTCATCTTTCTCCTCATTTCTTGCTCCATTTACTGCTGT